CTTTATATGTATTCGTTTGGATTATTAATGGATTATTCAGAAAATTGTCCCAAATCCTCTTCCTTAATTTCTCTCTGTTTCCCTTCTTAATTTCTGGCTATGGAATGTGATTGATCGGACCACATTAAAAACCAGCCTAAAGTAAAAGAAATACAATTTGTTGTGTGATCAGGGGTTCATTCTCATGATGTCTGTTATTCTTGCATTATTCATTATTTAATTGGCTTATTCATATTATAAACAATGCTACTGATCTCTTTAAATGTTTGATGAAGCTTTGAGTTAACGGGTCATGTTGCTATTGTTGTCGACTGTTTTTTGCTTTTCTGGGAGTTTCAGTAAAACTTTATAACGTTAATATATTACATCATTTTGTTCCCTGACAATATGTAGTGGGTGCTCTCAGGTACGTTCAAGTTGACACTGCAGTTTTCAGAAGATTATCCAAATAAGCCACCGACAGTACGATTTATTTCTAGAATGTTTCATCCAAACAGTAAGTTGCCATCATCAACAACATTGCATCTTTTTCAATCAATGGATGTGGTCATGGGCCATGAGGCATGTGTCTGTTTATTAGCCTTCTGTATGGAGCATGGGGAACTTGGTGTGGGACTTCAGACTTGTATAATTCAGTATATGCCGAGTTCCATAAAACAAGTATAAATGAGCCACTATATATGGGGGGGCGCAGCCGACAGTTGCCTTGGAAAATTGATATGCCTTTGCCTGAAACTTCGGCTCACTATCTATGGTGATGCCAAACTGTTTGCAGTGATTAATGACTGGAACCTGTTTGCTTTAAGTCACAAGCTCACTACCAAATACTAATAATGTCATAGAATGGCTCCATGTAGTTGTTGCGGTTTTAAATCACAAACTCACTGCTCATACTAATCATATAATTGAATGGTTCCATGTAGTTTGTTGCTCTATTCATGTTCTTTGTGTAGTCGATGATTACTTCATTCTTTTTCGATTGGCCAGTTTATGCAGATGGGAGCATATGTTTGGACATTCTTCAAAATCAGTGGAGTCCAATTTACGATGTTGCTGCCATTCTTACGTCAATTCAGGTGCGCTAGCTTTAATAGTGATGTGACGGGATTATTATATTTGAAATCTTACATATTCTGCATACTTGTTCACCAGAGACGTTTTTAAGATGTGGCATCCATAATTTGATAATGTGATAAATGGAGAAGAGGCTTTATTATCATTGCAAAATGTCTATTGAGTGGACAATAGATGTTAAATCATATACAGCAAGTTGGTCAGATGTGGCTGTTAAGAACTAGATTTAGGGGCCGTTTACCCAAACACTTACCCGGTAACTCGGTAAGCACTTGCTGGTAAAATTCAACACTATCACTTACTTACCGGGTAAGATTTTAGTCCAACAAAACGACATTGTCTGCAACAATTTACCCGGTAAGCGCTAACGTGGTAAGAGTCATCGTCCTCACTTACCGGGTAAGACTCTTGGTCCTTGCGTTCGCTCTTACCGGGTAAGATTCTTCGTCTTTGTCATATTCATCCGGTAGGTAATGTAACTCAGTAAGCACCTACCCGGGTAAGCGTTTGGTAAACGTCCCCTTACTAAACAACTAAAATAAGCGTAATGTGGAAGAAACAGTAGCCGGATGCTTGATTAACGAGAAAAAGGATAGGTAACTAGTTATTCGAGGCTAGACTCTCCAAGGACAAACTCAATTTTTTGGATACCTCTACTCTCCTGCCACACCACTATTTATACTAGAATATATAAACCTATTGGTGGGCTTAGGTCGGTGCCTAACTTTACCTCCGCCCCCAAAGAACCTTGTCCTCAAGGTGGATAGAAAAAGTAGAGAAATTGAAGCAGCTCGGTTACGTCTCTCCAACCATCTAATAGCATTTAAAGTCGATTCATGCAAATCAATTTCCTGTGGCCTTTTCCTTTCAAACCCGAGTGGAAGTCCAATGGTTTTTAGCCAACTTGCCACTCCCATAATTCAGCCGGCTTGCAGACTCTCTAGATTTCCTTGTATATGAATGTTCTTAACCCAAAAGTTGAGTCTTGCAACTTGAAGCTGATGAAATAATTTTGGGCAAAAAGTTGATTATCGGCAACCCTAACCGGCCCCACACGGAACTGCCTTCAAGGACACCAATGTGAGGGGGCATTTTTTGGCTCACTCAGCGGCTGAGGCTAGCAGGGAGGGCTGGGATTGAACCCTAGACTTGTCTTGTATTTGGCAAAGTCGCGCCACCCCTTTGCCAACTGAGCTACACGCCAGACGGCAGAGGCAACCCTTAGTTATGAGATAAAAAATTCGTTACTTTCCTCTATTATTAAGGGTAAGATTGACATTTAGTTAATTAAAAAGGGTAATAATTACACATTTCTAAAATTGTTGACTTTTTCATTGTTGACATTTATTTTGAGACGGAGGTAGGACCTCAATTCTTCACCCTTTCACACAATGTTGGTGCGTAGACAAAGTTTTGGAGTGACACGAGAGGGACAGAGGATTTCTTGCTAACATAGTGTATTTCTATTTCCTTCATCATAACTCCTTTATTTGTCTTAATTCTATACTCCCATCATTCCACATTTCTAATTTAGTTTGTTCCAAAACAAGTAACCACTTAAAGGTAAGTGTCTACTTTCCAATTCTACCCTTAATTTATGAGGTGAACAAATTCATTACCCCCTTTATTATTAAGGGCAAACTTGTCATTTAGTTTTCTAAGGGTGCGTTTGGTGCGCGGACAGGACAGGACAGAACAGGACAGGACAGGACAGGACAGGACAGGTGTTCAGTGTTTGGTAAGACATAACAGGACAGGACAGGACAGGTTAAAATGACCAATTTACCCCCAGTAACCTGTTTAGTGTTTTTTTCTCTAAATAATCAATATAATAAACGCTTACAAATACTATTTAAAAATATCAAAAAATTTCCAAAATCAATCGTAATTAAAAACTCACATTAACAAATCAAAAGATTTAAACATCATATTCACAAACAAAAGATCAAATGTTTACAATTGTGTACCAAAAGACTTCAACACAAAATATCAAATGTTCACAATTGTGTACCAAAAGACCTAAACACAAAAGATCATATGTTTACCAACCAACATCACATGTTTAACTTTTTTAAGATAGTAGCCACAAATTTTGGCTTCAAAGTAGCGTTCATGCTATTCCATAGGCGTAGTTGAATCGAGTTATCGGCAAAGTACATGCTAATAGCAATAACTTGATCATCATCAAAACCCATGTTGGTTAACTCATCGGGCATAGTTTGTAAACCCGGAGTACCAACAACCGATACCAACTTACCCATTTCCTCGGATATTACATTCAACCCCTTCTCAATCACCTTCATTGCATCTTCAGAAACACCCGCTTTTCTCTTTTTTTTTTTTGATGATGCTTCTCCATCTTGTGGAATAGAGGATGCAGAAGCGCCATTAGAAGGAGTAGTCAAAGGCACGTTCAATGAATCARTATCATCCCCGACTGCACTTTCAAGATTTATGTGTTCCAATGCATCTGCGGCAGATTCCGCCATCGATCCTGTGGCTCGATCTTTTCCAAATATTGTTTTCAATCGTTCATATTGAGGAAACGGCTTGTTGGCAATATAATTTTTGTTTGGATGTTTCTATAAAAAAATGCATAAATATGAGCATTACCTTTAACTATGAAATAATAGCATAAAAAATATAAGCGTTACCTTCAAGTATTCCTCTAAAACTTGAGCATCCACCGTTACGCATTGATGCGCATCATCCCAACCGAATCCACTTGTATTCAGCATGTCATAAGCTGCTGAATACTTATCCTTGAGCCGCTTCATTTTGTTTTGGATGTGTTTTGATGTGATATTTAGGTCCGGAATCTTTTCACGCATCTTTAAAACAATTTGGTCATACGTGCCGGTCCGGAAACACCCATTATCACTCCTACCACCGGCGGCCACAATATCTTGTAGAATGCTAATTAGTACATCCTCTTCTTGGATATTCCAATTACGTCTATCCGCCATCTTAGAATAAT